ATAAATTTATTACAATATTATACACATAATAGCTAGTCAATAACCCTAATATATATAGTGATTTAAAGAATTATATAATTAAGCTCTTTTAATGGCCATTCCTCTGACCAGCTTTATAAACCACCCGTCTCGTGTTACTGCAATATGAGCAATACCCTCCGCTTTGTCGATATTGGAGTAAATTTGGCTGACATGATGTTTCGTGGTGTATACAATTGCAGTAAAGCTCATGATTCTGATATAACTGAAGTTATTAACCGAGCTTTTGGAATGGGAATGACTAAGATGATAATAACTGGCGGTAATTTTTTTGGCAATTACATAAAGGATCATTATCTGAGAGCCAAGAGGCTTTAGCCCTAGCTAAAGACGATGAAAGGCTATTTTTGTCTGTTGGTTGTCATCCTACTCGTTGCAATGAATTTAAAGAAAATCAGGAAGAATACTATCAGAGTTTGAAAAAATTGATTCTGAACAATCCCTTTAAAGTTGTCGCTGTTGGAGAATTTGGTTTGGATTATGAAAGGTAATATTTATCTTTTTTATTTCAAGAACTAAATTTTGTGATTCAGAAACACAAATGATATTTTTCCAAAAGCAACTTAAGTTAGCTTATGAAGTAAAACTCCCGATGTTTCTTCACTGTCGCGCGGCTCATAAAGATCTTGTCGACTCAATGAATACCTTCAAATCAAAATATTATAATGACTCAACTATATTGGCTGGCGTTGTTCATAGTTTTGATGGAAGCCTTATGGATGCCGAAGAAATAATCAAACTTGGCCTTCACATAGGAATCAATGGTTGCAGTCTTAAAACGAATGAAAATCTTGAGGTTTGATAAATACTATTAAATATAAAAAAGGACAGTCTATATGTCTGCTTGGATGTTCTTATGACTTTTAGCTCGTTGCTTTGACCCTAATAATTTATATATAATTTTGATAAAGGTTAAGTTAACGTGCGAAATGAACGTATATTATGTTTCGCTTCGGGTATCAAAATTCTTGGCTACATAGTATACTCCTTATTACTTTGAATCTCTGAATTTATCTTATGCTCTGATTTAGCTACTCCACAAATTTACACACATTCACGTTCTACCATGAATAAAGAACATAGGTGGCCTTGTATTCAGCCACCTTTCTATTTCATTAAAACGTCTTGCTAGCTCTATGTCTTAATATATCTCTTGTCAGAACTTATTGTTTAATAGTGAATTTTATAAATTACTATCCATACTTCCAATCTGTAAGTCTATCCTATTTTGTTTGTTACTCTGTTAAAAACGGGCCTTGGGTCGCATGTCGGCATCCTAAATTTTTTAATTTACTTATAATCGCCTAACTAACTTATCTATACACTTTACAATTAGGTTGTCAAGAAACTACCGTTAGATAGATTACTTTTGGAAACAGATGCGCCTTGGTGCGAGATCCGACCGACCCATGCTGGTAAGCTCATCAATTCCACATTTTGTTTCACATTATTGTGTATTTTTATTATTTAGTTATAAAATCTGGTTTCTTTCCTCAATCCGGCTTGGCTTGTTAAAATTTAGGCCACTTCATAGCTCTGAATTTATTTTGTATTCGGTTATATTAACATATTTTTAAGGCCTTATTCCCTTTATCAGAAACACTTCCTGCTATCTCAGGATGATGCAATGCCTTCCTTGTCATCATGATTTAGCAAATTGCTTTTTATAATTAGTTCCTTTAAAATCTAATGATGCTATTCTAATTCCTTAGTCCCATAGTAACTTTTACCAAGGGACCTTATACTGTCCCATTGCTTATCACTTATTCGTTTTCAGTCTCTACTCCAAACTTCCAGGAATATTCCTGCATAAGGCTTTTTTTACCGAAACAGCATTATTATTCTTTTTCGGTTTTTTTGCGCACATCTCAACCATTTGAAAGCTTTTTTCGTAGGCGAAACTTTTAAACAAACAAGCAACATCCATATGCAGGCACTAAGCTCACTTTAGGTTACTTCATCTTTAAGATCTTGTATGCCTTATTTAATATTCAGTCTGAAGTTGTGGCTATTACACTTCCAAAACAGTCCTAGATTAAGGGCAATAAGCATCTCGCATGATAGACTTTCTGCCTTATTATACGCATTCAAATCATCACAGCCTTATTTATGTGAAATAGCTGCGTGTGTATTCAAATTTTAGACGTGATAGCAGCGTACTACAGCCGACGAGATAATTGAAATCATTCTTAGTACTATAGAAAATAAGGCCTATATGGCACACATGCGGCTTTCTGAGGCAACACTATAGAAGTAGTCTAATAGAAGCTTTTGGCCAGCAACCCGCTTCATTTCTAAAAATTTATTTATTCTACACAGTTTCCTGTTCAACTTGTAGTGGATTTTTTGCATTTATATTAGCTTACAGGTATTCCAAAAGTTGTATGGTCTAAAAGTTGACATCTCTTGGAAAATATATGGCTCGCTTGTTTG